AAAAAAAAAAACCTGTATTTTTTTTCTTACGCTTCTCAAAAGTTTTGTACGCATTTTCATTGAACCAATCCACAGCAGACGATCACTTAAAACATCAGCAGCAATTAGGCTGCAACGTGCGTCTTACACTTCTAAAAGATGCAAAATAATATTAAAACTAAAATAGTAAAAAAGTAGGTAACAAGAAGTAAGCCAACCAGAAATTGTTATAATATTGATGACTTGTTAAATAAAATGAAAAAAAGTAAGCCGAGAAAAATTAATAAATGCATCAAACAACCTCAAGACAGGACAGATTTTTTTTTTACTCTTGGAAATGCTATCTGGTTACGTTATAATAACTGCTAAAAACAATAAAAGCAAGTTTTCAGAGTATAAACACGTTCTGTACAAAAACTTACCTTAACTTCGTTTTTCTCTTTTAAAGCAAATCTGTTTTTAATTGCAACTGTAAGTATTTAAAATTTATTATCAGTACAATTGAAGTTAAAAAAATTTGCAAAGAAGAATTGTTTTTTACAGTACACTAACTAATATGCTGGGCTTCTCTAAGGTACCAAGAAGGGAGAAGAGCGTTCGTTTTTAACTGTCTTTTGTGATATTAGTGAAACATGTGTGCAAAGAAACTGATGTCTGTAGATATCACGGTTTAAGTGAAATAGAATGCAGAATGACGCTAAATTTTTTACTTAAAAGTTGCTAAAAAAGCTGCAAAAAAGTATAAAAGTACTTTCGACTATTTGAAACTTATCTAATTTCCACATTTATGCTGTTTATAATATGTTGTTAGTAAACGTTAATATTTAGCTCTCAGTGCTGTTGCTTCTCTCGGCAGCTTTTTTAACTTGCCATGGTCAAAAAGAACTCCCGACACACCTTGTTTTACCAAAACTAATCCCGCTACCAGTGATTAGGGGAAGAGCCCAGCTAAGAACTGTCACTTCGCGAGTCAAAGCCCATGGTGTGATGGGATATCCAGCTGATTATGTAGCTGCGGCACCAGCGATGTCCTACGTTCCGACTAGAACTGTCTATCGGTGAGTTGCTTTCTCGGCCTAAACAATTCAGTTTCCAAATAACAAACTTTCAAAATATTTTTTAGATATACTGGAAATGCTACTGCAAATTGGGTCGGCGAATATAACCCACTATTAAGTGGTGGTGTTCGTGGGGCACCTGGTATACGAATTCGACTAAATATGAGAACTTTCCAGTGGGCTTCTTCTTGGGCTAGACAAATGATTGACCAACAGTTACCGAGCTTACAAATTCCAGACATTCATGAATCAATTACCCAAGTTAGCAATTTGTGGCATGCAAATAAAACATATTTTAAATAAGGTTACATCAACAAAATAGTCTTTACTAGTTGCTTTTAATTACGTCGTAAATTTCAGTTCAAAAGTTAAAAAGAATGGCAAGAAAAACGTATATTTAATGCTCTCTCCTTTTTGGATCATTCTAAATTTTTGCTCATATTTTGGTTACAATTTAGTTTAACGGCCAAGTAAGTGTGACCAACGTTCACATATCAAAATTCCGACCTCCATGCAATGTTGCCGTTTATCCAGCAGCACCAAACCGCATAATGGTAGCTATAGACGACTTTGATATTGGGTATGCGCTCAAATTAGGCTTTATGCAGTTCTTAAAAACTTTATTATTTCTAGCTCTAGTTTATCTCTAAAATATTTTATAAAGATTATGACACATCTTCAATATAAACAAACTTTCACAAATCTGTTTATACCAAATTTTTTTCAAGTAATTTAATTTATCGTTTTCTAGATTATTTTCCCACTTTGAATAATATAGCTTAAACTTTAAAGTATTCGAAAAAATTGAGATGTAAAAAATTATTCTGTACTAAGTTTATAATTTTCAGAGTAACCGGTAATCTCGGTGGTTCAGTAACTGTTCTTCTTCCAATACCACTTTGCGGTATAATTCAAGCGGATCTTTATCATGTAAGAAGAAAAACACATTTATAGAATGTTTCTTGAGACTCCACTGCATAACATTTCTCTCGAATAAGGAGAAAAAATTTTGCAAAGCACAGAACAGCAAAGTAAATTCGGTGTACCTGAAACCATAGTTTCAAAGAAAAATAGATAAGATTTTTAGTATGCTCAATTTGTACTCAAATAATTTTTGTCTTTTCTATTCCTAGCAAAGTGAAAGCGCAAAAACAAGAAATCGCATCAACTATATACTATAATTTGCCAACAATATCATTGAATAACTTCAGCAATGATCAACAAAAAAAATTTGTTATAACTACATGAGATTTCCTTTTAGGTATCTGTGCGTGTTGGTGTAACTCTTGGCCGTTCTCCGAATGGTGCGCCTTGCATTATCGTTGATGCATGTCAAGTTGACATTGGCTACGTTGATGTCTGTATTATAAATGGCGGCCTAGTTGGTACCATTATCAACTTGCTGTTCAGGGTAAGCAGCTTCTGAGTTCACAAGTGTATTGTGAAGTTCAATGTCGTTGTCAAAAAAGGACAATTGCGAAGTTTTAGAAGGATGTAGCCAATTCAGTAAAAAGTATGGTTCCTGGCCGAATATGTAGTGAAATACCGAAAGTCGTTGCTGAAAAACTGAATCCTAAGCTACAAAGCATCCCACAGAGCATTGCGTTTAACGACATTGCTAGCATTGCGCAGAATCTTCTTCGTTCCAATGTTCCAGCTTACGTAAGCTTGAATATTTTCAGCGTTCTTCCTGTACTTTAAAATTATTAACTTAATTTTACTCTCAAGAAAAAAAATGGAAATTTTCAAATTACAGTGTAATTCTCCATACTGCCTAAACCGTAAGGAAGCTAGTGCAACATCAACAGAAGACTTAAAGAAGATAAAAGATGAAAAAGGCACAAATGAAACAGAGTCTGAAACTTATGACAATCCATTTGCAAGTTCCGATCAAACATTTTCAAGGGGTAGAGCCTATACTTTACGATACGTTAAAGCTAAGAACCTCAAAAACAAGGCTCTTACGCAGGTTTGTTTTATTCCCTCCCCTCCCC